GGTAAGAAATTCAAAACCCGGTCAGGCGAAACCGTTAAGCTGTCCGATTTGTTGGATGAAGGTTTGAAACGTTCATTAGACAAATTGATTGAAAAGGAACGTGATAAGGTTTTGACACCGGAAGAATTGAAGGCTGCCCAGGAATCGGTTGCGTATGGTTGTATTAAATATGCCGATTTAAGTCATAATCGCACCAACGAGTATGTCTTCTCTTTCGACAAAATGTTGGAAGATCGTGGCAATACTGCCGTTTATCTGTTATATGCATTTACCCGTATTTGTTCGATTTCACGTAATAGTGGTGAAGACTTCTCCGATTTGGCCAAGGTGCTAGAGACGACCAACATCGAATTGGAACACGAAAAGGAATGGAAATTGGCCAAGACTTTACTTAAATTCCCCGACATCTTGGTGAAAATCTCCAAAGATTTGCTGTTACATATTTTGTGTGAATACTGCTACGAAGTATCAACGGTATTTTCGGAATTCTATGATAATTGTTATTGCATAGAAAAGAATAAGGAGGGGCAGATTGTCAAAGTTAATCGTAGCCGTATTTTACTTTGTGAAGCCACAGCTGCTGTATTAAGGAAATGCTTCTTTATATTGGGTCTGAAACCAGTGGCTAAGATTTAAAGTTGGTATTTCATTCATTTTTCGTAATTTCTTCGAATATGATGTGAAAAAAATAAAACAAAAAAATGTAATGGACACACAAACACAACAACACACTAATTTGAAACTGTATTCTTAAATATGGAATATTTAAGATATTAATTTGGAAATAATAAAAACAAATATACGATATTTTGTAATGAAAAATGTTTTTTTTTTTTAGTCTACTTGGAAAACAAATTTAAAAAATATACAAACATTTTGACAAAATCGACACCTTAGGATAGTTCAAAAAAACTAGTACTGGGAAAAATATTCTTTACAAAATCCACGCCTTCGTAGACCATGAAAAAATATTCTTTACAAAATCCACGCCTTCGTAGACCTTGAAAAAATATTCTTTACAAAATCCACGCCTTCGTAGACCTTGAAAAAATATTCTTTACAAAATCCGCGCCTTCGTAGACCATGAAAAAATATTCTTTACAAAATCCACGCCTTCGTAGACCTTGAAAAAATATTCTTTACAAAATCCACGCCTTCGTAGACCTTGAAAAAATATTCTTTACAAAATCCGCGCCTTCGTAGACCATGAAAAAATATTCTTTACAAAATCCACGCCTTCGTAGACCTTGAAAAAATATTCTTTACAAAATCCACGCCTTCGTAGACCTTGAAAAAATATTCTTTACAAAATCCACGCCTTCGTAGACCTTGAAAAAGTATTCTTTACAAAATCCACGCCTTCGTAGACCTTGAACAAATATTCTTTACAAAATCCACGCCTTCGTAGACCTTGAAAAAATATTCTTTACAAAATCCACGCCTTCGTAGACCTTTAAAAATATTCTTTACAAAATCCACACCTTCATGGACATTCAAAAAATATTCTTTACAAAATCCACGCCTTCATGGACCTTGAAATTTTTTTCTTTACAAAATCCACGCCTTCATGGACCTTGAAATTTTTTTCTTTACAAAATCCACGCCTTCATAATCCTTGAAAAAATTTTCTTTACAAAATCCACGCCTTCATGGACCTTGAAAATTTTTTCTTTAAAAAATCCACACCTTCCTAAACCTTGAAAAAATTTTCTTTACAAAATCCACGCCTTCATAGACCTTGAAAAGTATTATTTTTGAGAAATCCACGCCTTGTTGGTCTTTCAGAAAATATTCTTTAAGAAATTCATACCTTGTTGGTCCTTGAAAAATATATTTTTATTTTTTAATCCACTCATTAAGATTTCCAAATGCTTTTGCCTAAGACTGTAGTTATGATGTTATCATTTCACTGTGAATAGCAATGACTCTTAAAGACAGCTGTTGAGTGTAACTCATTTAAGGCAATTACTATGAAAACAAGAAGAAGCATTCTTCTCATTACCCCATTATCACATTCTAAACTTTGCGATTACGCTTTGTTCTCATTCTAAACATTGAAATATTTGCCTTTAACAGTCATTTTCTTAAATTTCACTTTGCGAAACTGAAATCTTCAAGTAAAAATAATTTATTATTTTGCAAATCATGGAACCCGAATTACCCTATGAAGATGATCTCCTACAAAAGGCTGAAGATAAGGTGGAACTGGGTCAGGTGTTAATAAAAATTCTAGATGAATTCACCGAAATACCAGGTGTGCAAAAGGTACAAAGAAAAATTGTACAAGAAATTAAATTTTTGCAAAAGGTAAATTCCAAGAATGCCCATATAAAATTTTGAAACCAGTTTTGAATTTAATTCTGTTCTGTTCTTTCAAGGTCATCAAAAATAAAACTTTAAAAATTAATCATGTTCAATGCAGCAATCTGACGCATTATGAGTTTTTGGTTAAAATACTACAACAACAACGGGATGTGGTACATGTCGATTGTGGTTTTCCGGTGGACTATCGGGAGAATCCACTACGAGTTGATATTGTTTGTGAGAATGGCTTGAAATGGATAAAGGGTATGATTTGAGAAATTCCCCATTTTATTTTTATATTAATTTCATAATATTTGAATAGCCATTGCCCGAAATTCAAAGTCGTTAACAGATGCTGCTCGTGGCGAGGCGAGCTTTGGTGCACGCAGCATAATCGATCAGGCTCAAGAATTTGTGGAGGCCTCATCACAAAATCTCTGCATGTTTAAATGTCCAAAGGTAGGGGTTTTGGTTATTTATAGACAGGATTTTTTATTTTGATTAGTAATAGCTTCTATATCTACAGGTGGTTTTCTATTTCAGTCATCCAATTGAAAACGAATTAACCATGGCCCTGGAGGCGGAAGGTGTTGAAATAGCCTCGTTGGAAAAACCATCGGAGGTGGATAAAAATTCCGATATTAGTAATATTAGTATTTTAAATCTGGATATAACAACGTTATTGGCATATGTGAGTAATGTTTGTAATGGCAGCTGCAATTGGAAATTTCAAGAACCGATTTTAACTGAACAAGCTGAAAAGGAGCGGGAGTCACCTTTGAAACCTATTTTAGATAAATTGTTTTCGGGTAAGTAGGTCTGAAAATAAATGAAGATTTATAAAAAATACTTACATAGCTGGCTTATGACAGAACGGTTGTTCCATAAGCCGATCTTAGAAAAGATTTCTATGCGCGTCGGTTTTTTTCGTAGTTTTTTTTCCAATTTCAGCTTGGTCTTTTCGCCATTTACTGCCACTCCCAGTTTGGCAGACTCCTTCTCAATTCCTTCAAAGGTGGCTTTTACCACTCGCAAATATTCGACCCATTATGCCGATGTAATCGGCGTAGGCGAGTAACATATGTTGTTGGTGTACAGAGTGTCATTTCTGTTCACTTTTGCCTCTCGTATGGCCTTTTCCAGCAGGATGTTAAAAAGGTCACACGACAAACTATCACCTTGTCTGAATCCTCGTTCGGTATTAAAGGGCTCCAAGAGGTCCTTTCCAACTTTAATTGCTGATCTTGTGCCTGTTAAAGTTATCCTGCATAGCCGAAGGACGGCATTCACTTTGTATCCGTTCAGCGTCGCGGCTACTGCATCTGCATGAATCCCATTCAGACCTGCTCGATAGGCAACTTGATCTAGAGGCTCCCTTTTAGTCGACGAAAAGGTGGAATCTGGATCTGGTGCAGATTGAAAATCTGGTCAATGGTGGATTTGGCAGTTCTGAAGCTACATTGGTATGGACCATTGGCTTCAGTCGTTCACACAGCACGCTGGATAGAAATTTAAATTACGATGTCAAGGAGACTTATTCCTCTATAGTTGGCACATATCGGCTTGTCTCCTTTTTTGTGCACGGGACACAGGATGCTGAGGTTCCAATCATTGGGCATGCATTCTGTATGCTCCTTACCAGCATCTGACCACCAGTCTTGAATAGTTCGGCTTGTAACCCATTGACACCTGTTGCTTTATTGTTCTTCAGTCGATTAATTGCTCTATACCATCATCTCTTATTGGTTCTGGGGTATCTTCTTCACCGCCACTCTTTGATACCAGAAGCATTTCAAAATGATCCTTGCAGATCCTCAACACGCTGTCTGCATCTGTCACCAGGTTTCCTTCTTCATCTCTACAGGAGGATGTGCCTGCACCAAAGCCTTCGGTTTGGTGTTTTACCCGATGGTAGAATTTTCAGACTTCATTCTGATTCCTGTACATCTCGATTTTCTTGTTCTTTATTTTTTTCCTGAAAATACGTTTCTCCTCTCTCCTTCTCTCCCGATAATTCTTCATCGCAATCCACGATTTTGAAATAATATGTTACTAAAATATATTTTTTTAATATTTTCTTCTATTCCATTTTTCAGGAAAACGCTTAATTTGCTGTACCACTGCCCATAAATCGTTTCAAGACATAGTTGCACTACTTGGTGGTGCCGAAGAAAAACGAAGAGCCGACGAGCTAACTAAACGTATTGAAATCTTACCAGATGTCACCTCAATACCACCCGAAATTGCCAGCATTAAATTTAGTGGTAAAATTAATGAACGAAGTTTATTGATTTTTGCCTTTGGCATGGATATGAAAGCGGTAACGGTAACCTCCAATAAGGCCTTCATTAGATCAGCTAAAATGCAGGTAGGACATTTCATTTTTTATTTTTACTAACACCTTTATTTATAATGAATTTATTTCTTTTGTGTAAAAACAGGGTATAAATGTACCCGTTTTTACACACCAAGCTCGTGCTCTGACCGAAGCCAAAGAGGAAACTGCCACACCATTATAAGTGAATACAAAAAAACTATAGATCTTCTACAATTGTGAAACCGATGTTGATACTAATGTTGCTATTCGAAAAAAAACTGTTCTCTAGATAAAACTGTATGTAAATTGTTGTTACTACTAATCACTTGTATATTACCTACTATATATGTATATAGAATAATAAATTGATAAATATATTTTTTATTTAATTTGTTGCACCATCCTCCTGATTTTCATCATATACCGTTTTCAAGAGAGTAAAATAACTCATCGATGTACTTAATATGGCGGTAAATGATTGCAAGGATAATGTTGAAAATTTGAGGGCTGTTATTTTCACTGGCCTCTGGCTGCACATTATCATTATTTCCAGATTTTGACGAAACTTCTTGTTTGCTGGAATATAATAAGTGTCTTGAATCCGTTTTAATTCTTTATTTTGTAGACCCCTTTTAAATAGCTGTTCGGATAATTGTAGAGTTTCTTTATCAGATTTTTCTTTCACAAATTGATGACGAATTATAGAGGAGGTAGGTCGTATTTGTCCACCTTCCCAGTTGCATATGTACAAATGATTTGCCGTCTCTAGGGACTATAAAGATTATTATTTTATATATGTAATTTAATAATAATTATTTGTATACATTAAACTCACATGTTGTATAAGAGAATCCCCATTCCAGCATAAAACATACAGCTGTGACAGGGAAGATGACATATACACAAAGAATTTAACATAGTCACCTATAAACATGTCCTTGCCCGTGACCAATTGAAATCCCACCATGCATATCAAAATAGAGGATATTGTAAAATTCACCAAGAGTATAGGATTAAAGAAATTCTCCAATTTTGCAGCAAATCTGAAAAAAAATATTTCATATTAAATCGTAGCAAACATCAAATTATCGAGTTAACTTACTCAATTAATTTATTATGATCATAAGCCATGCGATTTAATAGCCTCACATAGGTATCCTGTATTTCCATTGTATCCTCCTTATTTCTCACCCTTTCATAGGCATCCAATACCAAATTATCAATACGTTCATGTAGAATTTGAAATTTACCACATGTATAGGTGACAAAAAATCCAAAAATTGAATCTTCGGCAAAGAGTGTTGTTACCACACATATTCCGGCATAGCTTGTAAATATATATGTGACAACATAACGCCAACCATGATGGGCATCGTAGGGAAATAACATTTTATAGGGGAAAGGTTTTTCATCGGCATCTAGACCAACATCAAAAAATAATACCACCAATGGTAGGACACAATACATTGATATAAGGCAGCTCAGGAGCACAGTCATAATGCGGAAGGTGCGCATATTGCGGGAACATACGGCAGCAACATGAGGATGTTGTTTTCTGGAATAATAGTAAAATAATTTTTCAAAAGCAAGGCTTTAGGGTTGATTTTTAAATAATATTTTTGCAAAGGACCAGCTGAGTCTTAGGCGTGGATTTTTAAAGAATATTTTCCAAAGGACCAGCAGAGCCTTAGGCGTGGATTTTTAAAGAATATTTTCCCAAAAAACCAGCAAAGCCTTAGGCGTGGATTTTTAAAGAATATTTTCCCAAAAGACCAGCAAAGCCTTAGGCGTGGATTTTTAAAGAATATTTTCCCAAAAGACCAGCAAAGCCTTAGGCGTGGATTTTTAAAGAATATTTTCCCAAAAGACCAGCAAAGCCTTAGGCGTGGATTTTTAAAGAATATTTTCTCGAAGGATCACCAAAGCCTTAGGCGTGGATTTTTAAAGATTTTTTTTCTCGAAAGACCACCAAAGCCTTAGGCGTGGCTGATTTAAAGAATATTTTCTCGAAGGACCACCAAACCCTTAGGCGTGGATTTTTTAAAGAATATTTTTTCGAAGGACCACCAAAGCCTTAGGCGTGGATTTTTTAAAGAATATTTTCTCGAAGGACCACCAAAGCCTTAGGCGTGGATTTTTAAAGAATATTTTCCCAAAAGACCAGCAAAGCCTTAGGCCTGGATTTTTAAAGAATATTTTCCCAAAAGACCAGCAAAGTCTTAGGCCTGGATTTTTAAAGAATATTTTCCGAAAAGACCAGCAAAGCCTTAGGCGTGGATTTTTAAAGAATATTTTCTCGAAGGACCACAAAAGCCTTAGGCGTGGATTTTTTAAAGAATATTTTCTCGAAGGACCACCAAAGCCTTAGGCGTGGATTTTTTAAAGAATATTTTCTCGAAGGACCACCAAAGCCTTAGGCGTGGATTTTTTAAAGAATATTTTCTCGAAGGACCACCAAAGCCTTAGGCGTGGATTTTTTAAAGAATATTTTCTCGAAGGACCACCAAAGCCTTAGGCCTGGATCTTTTAAAGAATATTTTCTCGAAGGACCACCAAAGCCTTAGGCGTGGATTTTTTAAAGAATATTTTCTCGAAGGACCACCAAAGCCTTAGGCGTGGACTTTTTAAAGAATATTTTCTCGAAGGACCACCAAAGCCTTAGGCGTGGACTTTTTAAAGAATATTTTCTCGAAGGACCACCAAAGCCTTAGGCGTGGATTTTTTAAAGAATATTTTCTCCAAAGGATCATTATTTTTTAATAGATTTCTTTACTCACTTATTTATCCAAATATCCTCAACAAATTGTTGTATGATCACTTTCAATTGTCGCTGATTCAAGCGCATATGCAGCAAACGGACAAAATTCAAGGCACCCATAAATGTGGTACAACAATTTTCCGTTGTCATCATTATGTCACCGAGATTATTGATCAGAAATGCTGTTTGAAATCCGATTGTAATGCCTACCGACCACACAACATACCATGACCAGGCGGTGTACAGCCAACCCCAGATATATCGTGACGAATAGAAATCTTTATTTGCCTCATGATTATCGTAAGGCCAAGAACCATTTAATTTTAACCAAATACACTGGCCCGGTATGCGATAATTGGGATCATTTATTGGTTTTGGGTTGAACATCCTTTTCGTCTGTCTCTTACTCGGTTGTTATCCTTTGTGTTTGTTGATGTTTACTTGAAAGATAAATTAATGTCCAGAAATGTATTTTCCTTTTATATAGGCCCATCATTAGTATTTATGGTCGAAGAGAAACAAACACACACCCACTCACATAGAAATAATAAATTTCTAATTCTGTTTGATGTTCACAGAGCTCTTTATGTTTTCATTCCTACACATTCCAATAATTTGGAAGGTATGTCAATATTTTGATTGCTCTGAAATTAACTGCACTTTAAATGAATTCTTAATTAAAAGTGGGCGTATTAATGGCAATTATAATTAGAGGCTTTAATTTGGTGATGATTTTAAGTAGTTTACATTAAAAACGAAACAAGGAGTGTCCTGCTATACAAAACACTTATTTGTATCCTTGTGGCAGAGCAGCACAGTGGCTTCATTGAGAGAAAAATGTTTTAGAAATTTTAAAGAAAATCAGCAGAGCCATAGGCTTGAATTTTTAAAAGAATATTTTTCCAAAGACCATCGGAGATTCAGGCGTGAATTTTTAAAGGTTATATTTCTCCGGACCAGCCGAGCTTTGGGCGTGGATTTTTAAAGAATATTTTTCCAAAGGACCAGCCGAGCTTTAGGCGTGGATTTTTAAAGAATATTTTTCCAAAAGACCAGCAAAGCCTTAGGCTTGATCTTTGGGCGTGAATTTTTAAAGAAAATTTCCCAAAGGACCAGCAGAGCCTTAGGCGTGGATTTTTAAAGAAAATTTCCCAAAGGACCAGCAGAGCCTTAGGCTTGGATTTTTAAAGAATATTTTCTCGAAGGACCAGCAGAGCTTTAGGCGTGGATTTTTAAAGAATATTTTTCCAATGGACCAGCCGAGCTTTAGGCGTGGATTTTTAAAGAATATTTTTCCAATGGACCAGCCGAGCTTTAGGCGTGGATTTTTAAAGAATATTTTTCCAATGGACCAGCCGAGCTTTAGGCGTGGATTTTTAAAAAATATTTTCCAAAGGACCAGCCGAGATTTAAGCGTGGATTTTTTAAAGAATATTATTCCAAAGGAGCAGGCGAGCTTTAGGCGTGGATTTTTAAAAAAATATTTTCCAAAGGACCTTTTATTTTAATTCATTATATTCTTTATTTTCGAAAAACATTTCAAAATTCATTCTTGGATCTCTAATCACCACCACTTAGATTATTAAATGCCACTTCAATGGAATCATTTAGTTGGCCATATTCTTCCAAAATCTTGTCCTCTCCATCTTTCAAGGGGTCCTGAAATAAAGGCAAATATTTTATTCTTAATTATTTTCAAAATTTCCCAAAAAATCTCTACCATAAATTTCATCGATTGCAATTGATAGAGAATATCCGTCATTTTCGATTGTATTTGATTCCAGGTGATTTTCTGCTCCCCCTTTGCCGTGGACATTTCCATAGATTGCTTGGCCAATTCATAAAAGTTGATAATATTCTTTAGCATTCCAAAAGTTTTATAGAAGGGACAAAAGCGATCATAGAAGGAATAGGAATTTTGTTGTAGAAAATCATCCTTGAGCATTTTGGCAACTTCCAAGGTTAATTTATCCGATTCCGCTAGGGAAGCTCTACCCACCAGTTGAACAATTTCTGAGAGATCCTCTTCTTCTTGTAAAATTTCCTTGGCCTTTTGTCGCAAAGGTACGAATCCGGGAAAATTTTTATCATAATATGGATCCAGGGCCCGGGTATACTTCGAATAGGAAATTAGCCAATTGATGGAGGGGAAATGTTTACGTTGTGCCAATTTTTTATCAAGACCCCAAAAGACTTGTACAATACCCAAAGTGGAAGAGGTGACAGGATCTGAAAAATCACCACCCGGCGGAGAAACGGCACCGACAATTGAGACGGAACCTTCACGTTTGGGATTGCCAAGGCATTTTACACGTCCAGCCCTTTCATAAAATGAAGCCAAACGGGCACCCAAATAAGCTGGATAACCGGAATCAGCAGGCATTTCCGCCAAACGTCCTGAAATCTCACGTAAGGCCTCAGCCCATCTTGAGGTGGAATCAGCCATCATTGAAACATTGTAACCCATATCGCGGAAATATTCTGCCAAGGTTATCCCTGTGTAAATCGAGGCCTCCCGGGCAGCCACTGGCATATTTGAGGTATTTGCCACCAAGGCTGTCCTTTGCATGATGGACTCTGTAACACCATCAATTTCTATGGACAACTCCGGAAAATCCCGCAATACCTCAGACATTTCATTGCCACGCTCACCACAGCCGACATAGATGATGACATCCGAGTTGGAGTATTTCGAAAGCGACTGGGATATAACCGTCTTGCCACAACCAAAGGCCCCAGGTATGGCAGTGGTACCACCCAAAACCGAGGGAAACAAGGCATCTATAACCCGCTGCCCTGTAAACAAAGGGTAATTTGAAGGCCACTTCTCCGCCACCGGCCTCGGGTGTCTTACAGGCCACACCTGTAACATTTTATGCTTTGTCTTCACATCTTCATATTCCGTTTCGAGGATTTCATCCACGATGGTGTAATTTCCAGCGGGAGCTACATATGTTACCCTCCCCTTAGCCCGAGGATGTAACATGATTCGATGTGTTACCAGCGAATTTTCCACAACATAACCACAAATATCGCCACCCGTTACCACTGTGCCAATACGCATATTGCAGGGTACGAAATCCCATGTCTTATCACGTGATAGGCTCTTTATGTCCACCCCCTTGGGTATGTAAATGGACTTGGTAAGTTCATGTATTGACCTCAGCGGACGTTGTATGCCATCGAATATGTTTCCCATTATACCCGGAGCCAATTCCACAGACAATGGTTTGCCAGTACGTTCAACAGGATCTCCCACAGCCAAACCGGATGTATCTTCGTATACCTGAATTGTGGCCATATCACCTTCAAGGCGTATAATTTCCCCCACCAGATGGTAATAGCCAACTCGTACCAGTTCGTACATGGCGGCTCCGATCATATTCTCAGCGGTTACAACGGGACCGGATACGCCATATACCCTTCCCATGCTATGTTCTTCAGGTTCGGCAGCATAATCCATTGGAGGCATACTATCTTCTGCATTGTTAACATCTAGAGATGAATAGGCATTGGCTTCTTCGATATTTCCAACAGAAAGTTCCTCATTCGAAAATTGGAAGTTGAAATCGTCCATTTTTAGTATTTTTTCAGAGAATAAAAAATTTTAATATATTTTTAAAGGAAATTTCTGGGCATACTGTTTTCAATATGAAATTTCAAAGCATATTTTCCAAGGACCAGCAGAGCCTTTTTTAAGAATATTTTTCCAAAGGATGAGCAGATCCTTAGGCGTGGATTTTTTAAAGAACATTTTTCCAAGCGGACCAGCAGTACCTTAGGCGTGGTTTTTTTGAAGAAAATTTCCCAAAGGAGCGGCCGAGCTTTAGGCGTGGATTTAAAAAAAAATTCTCAAAGGAGCGGCCGAGCTTTAGGCGTGGATTTAAAAAAAAAATTCCTAAAGGACCAGCCGAGCTTTAGGCGTGGATTTAAAAAAAAATTCCTAAAGGACCAGCCGAGCTTTAGACGTGGATTTTTTAAAGAATATTTTTCCAAAGGATGAGTAGAGCCTTAGGCGTGGGCAGAGCCTTAGGCGTGGATTTTTTAAAGAATATTTTTCCATAGGATGAACAGAGCCTTAGGCGTGGGCAGAGCCTTAGGCGTGGATTTTTTTAAGAATATTTTTCCAAAGGATGAGCAGAGCCTTAGGCGTGGATTTTTAAAGAATATTTTTCCAAAGGATGAGCAGAGCCTTAGGCGTGGATTTTTTAAATAATATTTTTTCCAAAGGATGGGCAGAGCCTTAGGCGTGGATTTTTAAAGAATATTTTTCCAAAGGATGAGCAGAGCCTTAGGCGTGGGCAGAGCCTTAGGCGTGGATTTTTTAAATAATATTTTTTCCAAACGATGGGCAGAGCCTTAGGCGTGGGCAGAGCCTTAGGCGTGGATTTTTTAAATAATATTTTTTCCAAACGATGGGCAGAGCCTTAGGCGTGGGCAGAGCCTTAGGCGTGGATTTTTTAAATAATATTTTTTCCAAACGATGGGCAGAGCCTTAGGCGTGGGCAGAGCCTTAGGCGTGGATTTTTTAAATAATATTTTTTCCAAACGATGGGCAGAGCCTTAGGCGTGGGCAGAGCCTTAGGCGTGGATTTTTTAAATAATATTTTTTCCAAACGATGGGCAGAGCCTTAGGCGTGGATTTTTTAAATAATATTTTTTCCAAAGGATGGGCAGAGCCCTAGGCGTGGATTTTTAAAGAATATTTTTCCAAAGGACGAGCAGAGCCTTAGGCGTGGGCAGAGCCTTAGGCGTGGATTTTTTAAATAATATTTTTTCCAAACGATGGGCAGAGCCTTAGGCGTGGATTTTTTAAATAATATTTTTTCCAAACGATGGGCAGAGCCTTAGGCGTGGGCAGAGCGTTAGGCGTGGATTTTTTAAATAATATTTTTCCAAACGATGGGCAGAGCCTTAGGCGTGGGCAGAGCCTTAGGCGTGGATTTTTTAAATAATATTTTTTCCAAACGATGGGCAGAGCCTTAGGCGTGGGCAGAGCCTTAGGCGTGGATTTTTTAAATAATATTTTTTCCAAACGATGGGCAGAGCCTTAGGCGTGGGCAGAGCCTTAGGCGTGGGCAGAGCCTTAGGCGTGGATTTTTTAAATAATATATTTTCCAAACGATGGGCAGAGCCTTAGGCGTGGATTTTTAAATAATATTTTTCACAAAGGATGGACAGAGCATAGGCGTGCGTATGTTTGTAACAGGCAAAAGGAAACGATATAGACACATGGTTCCTTTTGAGAATATGCATAGAATCACTTTCTGAGTCGATTTATGCATGTGCGTCCGTCTGTAGATGTTAAATTGTAAACAAAGTACAGGTCGCATTTATGGTTCGATTTGGATGAAAGTTGGCACAGCTCATTTATTTGGCTCAAGGACGAATTCTATTGAAATTGGGAAAATTCGGTTCAAATTTAGATATAGCTTTCATATATATTTTCGTCCGATTTAAGGTAAATGGTGTACCGAAGTCCCTATATATGTTTCGATTTGCACGAAATTTGGCATAGCGTACTCAATTAAGTATAGAATGTATGTGCTGAGTTTCGAGAAAATCGGTTCAGATTTAGATATAGCTCCCATGTATATTTTCGTCCGATTTTATGTAAATACGGCACCAAAGTCCTATATATCTTTCGATTTGCACGAAATTCGGAACAACGTACTGAATTGAGCTTAGAATGATGTGTGCTAAGTTTCGTGAAAATCGGTTCAGGTTTAGATATAGCTTCCACATATATCTTCGTCCGATTTAATGTAAAAGGTCCACCAAAGTCCATATAAATCTTTCGATTTGCAACAAATTTGGCACAGCGTAATGAATTAGATATAGAATCATGTGTGTTAAGTTTCCTGAAAATCGGTTCAGATTTAGATATAGCTCCCATATATATTTTCGCCCGATTTTACATAAATGGTGCAGCAAACTCCTAATGTTTGTCCGATTAACACGAAATTTTGCACAACGTATCAAATTGAGACTGGAATGACGATTTTTTGGGTTTTGTTGAAATTGGTGCAGATACAGTAATTGCTTCCATATGTATATTTCGAACGGGTGTCTGATTGAGATTACATTTTTAACAGTGTGGCGTACTGAAGCATAGGTTCCAGAAAGGTCACATATTCAATTCAATGTTCTTTCGAAAAGTCGGAGTCTGTTAGGAGACATATGTAGAAGGGTATTATATAGTCGGCTCTGTCCGACTTTACTACTTTCCTTACTGGTTTTGCCTTACCTTATAGATGGAAAATCTTTCTATAAATAAAAAAATATTGTTTTTTTTTTTCAAATTTTCAAATAAATATATTTTCATATAAGTATTTATTTTTGTTTTTATTTATTCATTATTTTTTTATTATTTAAATATAATTTTCATTTTTATTATTTAAAAGAGTTAAGACATCAAATCAAAGAGATGATCGATCAATCAATATATTTTTCTTTAACAAACTAAATTTAACTAAAAAACAGATTTCTTTACAATACATATATATTTTTTGTTTGTTTTTGTTTTATAAATTTTAATTTAAATTTCACATTTTTTATATTACACTGAGAAAAATATTTTTAATATAAAAAACTATACACAGATTACAAAGAAGGAAGAAACCAGGTGAATGGTTAAACAAATATACACAAAATTGTTTTCACAATAATTATTGTTTTAATTAAATCTAAATCTCAAAATTAATAAATTATTTTTTTTAAATTATTGCCAATGGGGGATATTTTTTTATTCATTATTATTATTTTTTATTTAATTTTTAATAATACTTTTTATATAATAAAACAATTGAAAAGAAAAAAAATGATTTTATCCATTATTGATGATGGCGCTGATGATATTGATTCGTCTGAGTTTAAAGAAGTTTTTTTATTTTTTTTTACTTTTCCGGTTCCTTGTGTGTGTGTTTCGGTCTAAAGTTTTCACAAAAGAAAACTTTTTTCTAAATAATTTACAATTTTTTTGGAAATGTTTTGTTTTTAAATTTTTCTTGTTTTTCTGTTTTTGTTCTTGTTATTCAATTTTCTTTATGTGCATCTTCTGTTTTTCCGTTTCTTGTTTAATTTTTTTGTTATTCTTTTTTAATTTCACGTTTATTTTTGTTTGGATTCCAAGTATTCAAGTGTTTTTTTCTCTTTATATATATTTTTCGTTAGTATTATTTTTATTACTTATTATTATTATTTATTTTATTTTGTTATTTTAAAGCAAATTTTACCTAAATAATATTTATATATCAGTAGTACATTTTTATTTATTATTAATATATTTAAATATTATAAGTAATTATTTTTATTATTATTTTATGGTATATCACTTAAGCGAGCGTTTTGTGAAATATTTTTTAAAATGTTGTTTATATTTTTTTTATATAAAATCTTAAACACAATTTTAAAAAATGTTTCCAAAATAATATTTAATATATATTTTTTGTATGTTTTTTCTTGGGTTAGAAGATCATTACCAGAATTTTTTTTTAAATAATCCGGATTGTTCTTCTATTCCTTTAGGTTGGCTTTCTTATATGTTCTTGTTTTTTTTCTAGGTTTTTGATTAGTTGAAAATTTTTTGTTTACAAATTCAATAAAAATGCTTCGACATTTATATACTTAATACATACAATATAAATATTGTATTTATATGTATATATAAATATACAGAGTGTTCTGAATTAAAAATAGTGGACTTAAAAAAAATATTGTTTCAAGTAATCTTATAAGAATTTTAATAAAAGTGTTTTAAAAAGCTTTCAGTTATTTTAAGGGAGTCTACAATTTGTACAGTCCTTTAAAATATTTATTTCTTATATTAATTCCGATAGACCTTTCCTTTTCAGAACCTAAAAGAATCTACTCTTTTTACATGTTTTGCAAACTTTTTACTCGAAAACCGTTCCTCAACCCACAAAACTGGAAAAAACATTGACTCAAATTTAAGAGAGCACAAAACAAAATGGCGTTCTCTTTGAAAACTTTTTACTCGAGAAATTTGGTCGAGTAAAAATGGTAAACAGGAATGCCTATGGGTGGCGTAGGGGGGATGATAGATACCAATCAACGGCTCTGATTGACTTTAACATGGCGAAGTCCAGGCTTATCTTGGTCCCTCTTTCATCTCAATTGTGGACACTGGCCTCATCATCACCCGATGAAATAGTGAGCTAATATGTGTCGCGAGTTCACTCATAAGAACTATAAAAAAATGGGTTGAGGCGTCGGGTTAGTTGCCCACACTCGGAAAATCGAACCTACTATGAAAAAGCAAAGAAAAAGAAAACCAAACCCACCTAATGTTGACGACCACCCCCGCAAACGTATAAAGGACCACGATCTGCGAATCTGTACTTGGAATGTGCGCACGTTGTACAGAACATGCGCAGCAGTGTTCGCTTTGGCGGATGTACTCAAGAAGTACAAAACCGATATTATTGCCTT